CATGAATGTTATGAATTATTGTTAGTGGCCATTCGACTAATGTAGCGAAAGCTAAATTGAATTATGCGTCATTTATACCTGATCTCGGAATAAGAATTGGCATGAATTACTTTTATCGTTGATAACAAGTAAATTACAAGGTAGCGATTATAGGAGCAATTTACTATTTAGTAATTGTAATTAAATTAACACACCAGAATGGGTCATGTGATACTTGTTTAATTACAAGGTTCCGAGAGCTTTATCTGCTTTAGGCAACAAGATTAATTCGAATGAGGGAAAGTGATACACTGAGTTTCTACTCAATAGTTTAATGGTCAATGACTGTTTATGCACATGTTCAAAGAATCAACTTCGTTAATAAAGTCGATATTATTATTATTATTCAAGAGGCCGGAATGAATATCAGAAACACCGCTTTATCTGATGATTGATATAAACCATCAAAGCCAAAACGGGCTATTACTAATTTATTTACATTGACTAACAACACTATATTACAACTCATGAGCGGATGTTCTGTTCAAAAAAACAATCACAATCTCTTTTCGACCAGAATACATATGACTCATGACAACAATAGAGTTCAGAAGAACCACTTTGATCTCTTCTCGATCCCAAATACTTCATATTCTTCAACCGTAAAGTAGTCCCTGGAATTCTTAATTTCCAGACAATAATCAGACCTCTTACAACATTGAAAATCTCTGAAATCTCCCTTGAGAACCAGATCTTCATGACCGAAACAAGGACCGAATATGGTGCTTCCATTAAACACGGCTCTGTCGGCATTCCTAACACGAGACAATAATCCCTTTTTCGAATGCTCATTTTTGAAAGAAAAAATAAAACTGTCCTCTGTTTCGCCCCAATTGACAGACTGATTCCATGGCAATGGGTTATATCCTCCAAGAATTTCACCAGTTTCCGCTACTTTGATGATAATCACAGTCGCACCCTGGTCATCGCATAACGTGTGAAACGATTGATGGTCGAATCCATCGCGACTGCCACGAAGCAGAAGTCTATATTTGAATGAATTCTTGACGATTCCAGCCTTACGGAGATGAAACTTCAAGTCGCCTTTATCCAGTTTGTCTATACAGGCAGTTATCCATGCCGCCTGCTCAGAATTAATAATCACCGAATTCCATCTATTGGAAAATCGAGGCGTGTTGGCAATAGACCCCAATTTCTTCCGAGTCGACTTTGCCAGAGCAAGCGATTGTGACTTTTGCATATTACACGCGAACACATCGCGAAACAATTGCCTAGGAATAATGCTTTCGTAAGGTAACACATGAATGGCAAACTCTTCCGACGACATATTCAGAAACCTCACGTGTTCAACGCAATCCTTGAGCGTGTTCTGCAATACGACAAAGTCCTCTGGACACCAACATGACACGTCTTTCGCAAGAATTTGATTCTGTGCTATTCCCCACTTGATCAGCCGATTCCAAATTTCAACTTCCTCCAGTGCCAAATCATCTCTCTTCAACAAACTAACCAACGTGCCTCGGTCTAGACTATGAAAGTCGGACGACGTGAATATGGCACCTGGCTCTTCACGTATCAGTTTCAGACAGTATGATCGCAGGTGGCGGAAACGGTTATACTCGAACGCGGTGCGATTGATGAGGACAAAACGTAATTTTAGCCAGTTGGATTGTTGAGTGACGAGATAATCTTGGATTTGATCGACGAGGTCGTCGAGGAAAAGATCATCGGCGGCGAGAAGAATATCGAATATCGTGTCTGCCGTGTATTCGGATAGTGTAATTCTGCCTGTGTATATGTATCTGAAAGTCGGAAACGCGAAAAAAGAGACAAGTAAATTATTGATATTAATAAGCGAGGTAATCGTTTTAATCAGAGTTGAGAGAGAAATTGGTCCAATAATACAAGTGCCCTTGTGTTTTAATCTCTGCTTACTTTAATAGCGTGCCAAAGGTTGAAGCACGAATACGCTCGTGTAATTTTACGTTAACAACTTGCTTATCTGTTAACCCGCCAAACGGACAAGCATTCTGTTTCGACAATGTTTCGTTAAAGTAGGGCGATCGAGCCCGAAGTATGACAGAATGTGCGTGGAATGTCCTCGACTCGGAACCCTCCCCTACTTGTATTGATACATCATAATTGTCGGCGTTCGCAAATAACTCCTCTAGATCTCGAAGTAAAGCGGGGGTGAGTTCTAGTCTCATTCTATGTTCAGATGCAAAGTAAAAACTAATGCATGAGTTGCTTTGAGAAAGGAAGGGGTGGTGGTGGTGGGGGGTGGTTTTTATCTAAACTTTGATCCGATATTAACGTTAATATCGGTATCTACAGGCTAGTCTGCAATTGGTAATTATTTTGATCTCGTGATAAAATTTGAATCACAAACAAAGTAAATTGTAACATACCACATGTATAAAAACGTTGTGCATCCGATTTACGTCATTTAATGTTTAAATAGTGTTAATGAGGCTTTAAATCACTACTTGATAGCTGATTGATTAGACGACCTATTTGATGGTGCCATAAATGGTCGATTTTCCGTTGTGATATGCAGGTATAATGAAACAGATGCTATTTCGTTTAGATTTTTTTTTCTGCCCAACATTCTGTTGCAAAGGCGCTTTATCGTTTCAAGAATCCAACTTCGTTTCCGAGTATCCGTATAGTATCCATACTAATACTAATACTGTAACACTGATCCTTTATCTCGACCAACTGATTTCAGAATTACACTTTTTGGCATCGTCATGAATCCTGTTGAAGAATTGATATACTGTATAGTAGCTTTCTTCCACTTCAGCAGCAAACAAGGTTTAATTTGTCGCGGCTTACGCGTAATCTAACTTGGCTCAGCTGGCAAGTAGTAGACCGCTTTGTATGATTGAAAAAATTTTAGCGATAACAAGAATCGTATTACTTTTCACGACTATCCCGTGAGAGGCTTAACGTAAGACTTGGTATGTTTTATGTCACGCAGAATATTAATATGTATGGTTACAATTTCCTTTCTCGGTGAAAGAATGATACTCTTTCAACCCAACACTAATATCGAATTCAGACTTAGATGACTAGTCCCTACATTGGGAATCGGAAGAGACGACTGAAAAAGCATCTATATTCCCGATTCTATAAACGTCCGATAAAAACCGATACTCTTGTTAATGTTATTTCCTCTTATAATCAAGATGCACGAGGTAAAAAAAAATTAGGTGATCGTAAGAGAAAATGACCTACATCACAGCCTCAGATTATTTAGCCACCACAAATGTTATCAATGTAAAGAGCGCCATAAATATTATGAAACTAAATATTCAAAACAAACTATTGAAATCACCCTGAACAACACATCGAACAGTTCTTGTGTACGTCGTACAACTTGGCGACTAACTCTCGATGGTAATAAAAAAAAAAAGAAGAGAAAAAAAAAAGAAAAAAAGAAAAAAAATTTTGGCGACCATCCCCAAAATGTTTGTGATCATGCAAAATAAGGTTTGAAGCTTAGCTAAAGTTAAACTTGCAATTGATCAAAGAGTACAAACGCCTGTTTAGGAATAATGACTGAAGGCAAAAATGCGATTTCTTATTTTTAGTCAATATCTAAGCAGCAGATCATCTTCAATATGAGAGCATGTCAATTCCATTGGTCAACTTTTCACGCCGGAAGAACGAGGAGCTATTTGTATCAAGTATGCTGTGTATCATATGTGAAATAAGCCACCAGGAAGTTTACATTGGATGTGATATTAAATTTGATATCAATAAACCAAACGCATTACATTAATTTATGCATTCTTTCGCAGGTGCGACGATCGATTTTCTAACACAAACATCCTCGCAGAACCGAGATATATCGATACGTTCGCACTCATCTATAGGCTTCTGGCGATTCGGATCACACAGCGCCTTCATCGTTGGCTTGAGAACCCAAGTAAGTGATTCGGACAGATAGAAGATTCGTCCAATGATGAACTGAATGTGAAAACAAAATGGAGTACGTAAATGCTAAGCTGCTATTCTTCTATTATGTGGCACAATAAATCGCCATGCTATTAATTTTGGTGGCATCGACACTTTTTAATGCGCGCTCCAAGGTGTCGGACTCTTTGGAAATTAGAGCATTATATCCGTCGTTGCTATTCTTCTTTTGACTCTCTATGGCACACCGATCTTGTAACCCCCTTCGAGCACATTCCATAGTAATAGAACCGTTGGTTTGTCTTGCTTACGTGCCCATATCACGATTGAATTGTCATTTTCGTAAATGCACATGTGAGAATATCTTTGGAATTGCGTTTCCGTGTGTATCTTGCTCAAGATAAGACTTATTCATGGGAAGAGAAAGTCTACCTGAAAGAATGAGCGTTGAAACAGAAGATCCATTAGAATGACGGAGCATTTTTGCGGTCTTATTTGATTTTACAGTATCAAGTGTCGGCTATCATTCAAAAGTTTGTTATAGCTACGCATTTCCCGGTAAAGTTATTTCGAGTGATGAACGCTGAAAGGCAAGACCTTAACTAGCCAAGCGTGGAATGACCTTTTCCTTATCATGGCCTTATTTCAAACCAGATTCGCGCCGCCTTCCAAATCTTATGGACTGGTCAGTAAACAGTCTAGATTTAGATTCTATTGAAAATCTTTAGAATATTGTTTAAAAGAAAACGTCGAAAAAAGAATGCCCACAAAATCAGAAAGATTTAACTGATTTTATGGAAAAGAAATGGGATGCTATTCCAGGAAGCAGTCTAATGAATTTAGTAAAATCGATGAGGCGCAGGTGTGAATTAGTTCTTGAGAAAGAATACCGCATTAAAATCTACTGCATTTCAGCTAACAATGAGGTATTAGTCATGTTGATTGCTGCACAATGATGCCAATAAATTGTTTACACACTGTAAATAACACTATCCAGTATGCCTTATTGGCCGACGTATCATCCGGCCGGTGCTGAAATCGAAAATAAGTTTCACTGTCCAGGCAACAGAGCTCAAACGTGGATACGTATTTATTATAAGTTTTAAATAATTGGTTCTCAATATTTACCCTTAATTAATAATTTGTTTTATATTTTGTAATACTAATACTCTGCCCGGAAAAGGCAGCTAACTGTAAACATGCATGACTTTATTTCGGCGTCTTGTTAACTCATCCATATCGACATACACTCACTGGACAAAAGTTTGTTCCCAAAATTATTTTGCAAATTTTTCAAAATCGTACTAAATAAATAGTTGCAATATATATATTATTTGAAAGCTCTAGTTCTCAAGAATGTTTGTCATTAGCATCATATTTATATTTTGTGAAATTTTTATT